CGATTTATAAAGAAAGTTTAATTAAAATAATTTTTTCATAATTCTCAACAAAAATAAAAAATGGGAATATACTTTTCTGATGATTTCCGACTTTACATATCTGCGTTTCTTTATATTCATCTCAGTTACACTGAGCAACGATGGGCCGTGCCGTAAATGTAATAATTTTAGCAAACTCTTTCATGTACTTTTTGTTTTATAAATTTTGTATTTATTTTAACAATAAAAATAAAAATTTTGGAGTAAGGCTCCATTGGTTTTAAAAAAAAAATAAAAATAAAAAAAAAGTTTCTTTATATTCAATATTATTGGGTGCATAATAAAATGCTTTTCGAAACGAGTTATAATCTAAATTTAATGTGTTGTGTGGATGTATTGACCTTTTTCTAACCCTGACTTAGAGATAGGAATACATTTTTACATGCGTTATTTATTATAGTTATCTATTTATATTTAGTAATTTTTAATCAAATTAATAAATTCGGAAGACTGTAAGATGAATTAAGGAATTGAAAATTACAGTTGATGCTAAAAATTTCTAATTTGTTGGAATTTTAATTGGCATAAAATCACATGATATGCAAATAGTATTAACTTTATTTAGCGACAACTTTCTCTTAATATTCATGTCCTGTTATATGATTATATCTCCGTTACATAACTAAAAAGGATCACAAATATGAAAAGTAGAATTTGAGAAGATAGAATTTACATTCCAAAAATTTGAAGACCTTTCTCAAGTCAAATTAATATTAATAATAAATACACTTGTGGCGTGGATATGTTACGTAAAATTAAAAACGAATGATCAGCGAAATAAATTATTTTATATGTTATATGCAGTGTAATGGTCGTAATAAAGTTCATTTTATTTAATAATTTTCTCAATATGTTATTAGCCAAAATGACTCAAAGAAAAACGAATAATATTATTACTATTAATAATAATCCTAAAGCTAACAGAATAGAAAATAATGATGACATCCCATTTTATCATTATTCAAAATTTAAAAATGTAAAATTAATTAATAAAAATGTTAAAAATGTTTATAAAGCTCATATTATAAAAATAGTTTCTCAGCAAGAAAAAATCGTAGTCGCTCTTAAATGTATTTCTCTAAATAATAAATTTACTTTGAATAATTTTATAAATGAAGTGAGTTGACTGTTAAATACCGTAGATAAATATTTGTTTTTTTAGTATTTTTTTTTTTTACTATTTATTTATTTAGGTTAAAATACACCGAAAATTGGAAAATAATGATAGCATTCTTAAGTTTCATGGCATTACGAAACAAGGTAAAACTAATATAAAATAATTAACTTTTATCCAGTGCTTTATAATTTATTTATTATTTATTTATTTATAAATATAGAGGACACAAACATTTATATGATTGTTCTCGAATATGCTAATGAAGGTTCTCTTCGTCAATATTTGAAAACCAATTTCCAAAAAATGGATTGGAATGCAAAATTAAATCTCGGAAAACAAATTACAAATGTTTTGATGTATTTACACTCCATTGATACCATTCATGGAAAATTGGTAATTTTTTAAATTAAAAAAATATTCTTATTTAATGAATTATTTTTAACTTTTCTTTTTAAAAAAAATTATTTAATTAGAACTCTGAAAACATTCTTATTCATAATGGGAACATTAAATTTAATGTTTTTGCATTACCAAAAATTATTTTCGATTCTTTAAGTCTCTTTACAAATATTCTTGGTCCAATACAATACATGGATCCTCGACATCTTAAACTCTTCAGCCCGATTGGCAAAAATAAGAGTTCTGATATTTTTAGCCTAGGGATTGTCCTTTGGGAGATTTCTAGTGGTAATCCTCCTTTTGAAATGGAATCCTCGTTAAATGTTGAATTCTTAAACAATATTGTAAAAGGCAAAAGGGAAATAGTCATACTTGGAACGCCTTATGAATACAAGGAATTATACACTGGTATAAATTTATTTAAATTTATTAAAATCATTTATATTGTTTACGTGATAAATTATCAATGTTAAAAAAAAAATATATTTTTTGACAGATTGCTGGAAACACAAAGAAAACTCACGGCCAGATATTTCTCAAGTTGTTAAAAATCTTTCTGAAATCACTATCTCTGATGCAAGTGTTGAATTTGGACCACCCCAATCACAACTTAATAATGCCACAGACGTTAAATTGGAAAATTTAAATATGTAAACCGTTTTAATGTTTTTTTTTTATATGTATTAAATCTTTAGAACATTTATTAAATATTAATTCTTATTTTTTTTTTAAGACAAAATAAAAAATCCGAAATCAAACCTGATGATGTGCTTATTATGGATTTATTTAATCTTCACGTTGATTTGTTCAATAGACAGTTTCGAGATGTTCGACCAATTATGATCAAAAATTTTCTTAGAGAGCGCAAAAAGAATCCAGTTAAAATTCTTTATAAAATGATTAGTCATCCATCTAATTATTGGTTTACTAGTTTAATAGGACTTTTTTACCAGTATGGCATTGGGACTGTTGTTGATTATCAGATGGCTTTTAAATTCTTTAATTTAGCTACCAAACGAATAATTGATAGCTCCTCTTATATTTCGTCACCTTTAAGGAATCTATGCAATATTAACAAAGAAATCGGAATCATCTCTATTGCATATATGTATAGAAATGGTCTAAGTGTTGAAACTGATACAAAAAAAGCTTTTCAGATTTATCATGAACTTGCTAATAAAGGGTCTCTTAAAGCTTTGTATAACGTGGCATATTGTTATGGTAGTGGTTTTGGTGTTGAAAGAAATGACGAGAAAGCATTTGAATTGCATTTGGAATCCGCAAGAAAAGGAAGTCCTACCGCACAATTTTTTGTTGGCGATTGTTATATGGATGCAATAGGAATAGAAAAAGATGAAGTTAAAGGGTTTCAATTGACTATGAAATCTGCTCTTGCTGGAAATACTACTGCAATATGCAATGTCGGGTATAGTTATGACAATGGTTTAGGCGTGGATAAAGATGAAAAAGAAGCATTTAAATGGTATCTGAAGGCTGCTGAAAAGGAATATAATACTGCTCAGCATAATTTAGGATATTGTTACAAAGATGGTGAAGGAATTGATAGGGATTACAAGAAAGCATTTGAATGGTTTAAAAAAGCAGCAGAAAATAATTATGTTAATAGCCAATACATGCTTGGAAAATTCTTTTATGAAGGATATGGAACTAAGAGAGATATTGTAAATGCTATCTTCTGGTTAAATAAAGCAAAAGAAAGTGGGAGCACACTTGGCAGTGAATTACTTGGAGAGATAATCAGTAATATAATTTAATACTTAAGAAAAATTTTCAAATATTTATTTTTTCATTGTAAAGATTAACTTATTTTTTGATTAAATGTGTTTTCGAATATATTATTGGTATGTTCGGTCCTGAATTTAATGTAATTATTAGAATTGGAAAATGTTTAATATACATATCTTATCTAGAAATTCTATTGTAATCATGTCCCAAGAAAAGAAAAACGAAAAAGAATGGGAGACCTAGATAGATAATTTAATTATTAATGTTACTTTTCAAAAAAGAAAATGAGTATTGCTAAATATCACCTGCGATGATTATCATCACTAAACAAGATTTCATAATCCCCTTTATCAACCCTAACCTTAACTTTGCCCACTTAAATTTAATTTTGTCCAGTGGTGACAATCACATGTGGTGATATTTAACAATTTTCAAAGAAAATACCCCTTTTTATTAATATTTCGAATTTAAGAATGCGAAATTAATTAATAAAATGGCATGACACTTTTGAAACTTTTCAAAAACTGCTGCTCTTAAAAATCTTTATTTAAATGATAGTGATAAATTTGCACCAGATAATTTAATAAATGAAGTATCAAATTAAATTATTTTTTTTCTATAATGTATTGGAATATAAATTTATCGTTTATAATATTATTAGAATTTAACGAAAAAGATTAAAAGCCATCGAAAATTGAAAATTCATGGTAGGCTTAAATTCTATGGTATCACTACATTAAGAATTTTATTAGGCATAAATCCCTGTACATATATTACGATTCCTACGCATATTTTACGGGGCCGTTTGACTTTAAATCGAAATATCTCGGCGGATATCGGTGCTAAAAGGATGTAGCACATGTCATATTATAGCATGGAAACAGGACTTTAATAAAAAATCCATCCCTGTACCACAGATCGTCAATAAAAACGGAATTTTTTACCGCGAAATTTTTTTCGAAATTTTTTTACGCCAAAGAAATGCCTTTTTTTTTTGAATCTCGATCGTGATTTGTAGGACAGGTTGTTATTTTTTCTTGTCCTGAAAAAGCAAAAATTTTCTTTTTCCCTCAAAAGGAAAAGAAAAACAGTGAAATAATTTATTATTTATATTAAATATTTAGAAAATGGAACAATTTAATACATAAGTCAATACCACGCCAAAGTGGTATAAAATATAACCGTAACATGTACATATATCAAGAGGCACAGCATGTGACGCAATAACTACAATTCGAATTTCTTTACTATAGATCAATCTCAACTTGGAAACTTGCAATGCTGAATAAGAATTAATCCTTTCTATTTTATCCTCACCAATTACAGTAAACAAATCATAAATAAAAAAATTCCAAATAATTTTATTTTGCATCAAAAAAAAATAAGAAATTTATTTTATTGTATTATTCAATGTATTTTTCCTATTTTCTGTTGATTGATACCGATTGTTTGCTCAACTGGATTTCTGCTATCACGTATTTTATGAATTGGAAGTTGACGCATAATTAGAATTGAGCATATTAGTGGGAGTGGGATTAATTTGATTAACAAATATGGAGCACTTTATTAATTGCGACTGAAAACCAACAAAATTTGTTGAGATGATATGCAAATATGTTATCTTTTAAAACTTCAATGTATTCCTCCTCATTCACCAATAATTTTCTATATGAATTAATATGAATCTCTTTGAAACCCATCAAAGCACATTAATTACACGTTTTCCTGCTTCATAATGCTTTTGATCTGCAAATAGTTTTACATTATTAAATTTCTTATAGGTCTCAATTAATTTTTCCTTCTTGATATCTATGGGAAAAAGAGTAAATTCACAGATTATGAAACTTAATCATACCTTCGAAGGATTGTCCATCAATAAATTTATTTGCCACTTTCTCCAACTCTACAATGCAACCACCAACCAATTCATAGATTTTTTTGCCTTTACTTCGTTGATCATATGCTTCTTAATCAGATATCCCATTAATTCTTCCACACGAGACCAGGCACTACAATATGCAAATTATTATATTTCCCTCTGGAGCAAAAGATAGTACTCATGCTTATATTCCATTCCTCTCGGGGTAACTCCTTCACTACTGACAAACACCGCAATGTATGTCCCACTATACGCATTATCTTTGGCATCGCCTTGGAGGAAATCAAGGATTTCTGGATTCTGATGAACCAACTGGCATACACTGTCATAAACAATAACCGCAGGTTTATCACTTTTTGCTTTATACACTTTAGCAGCATGTTTAAAAGCTTTCAGGGCTCTCTTCCACAACGGAATATTAGAATCGCCTATCAATAAAGAAATTAGAGTCAAAATGTTTAATGTTATAAAAATGTAATGATAATAAACCCACGACTAGTGTTGTCCAATTTTCCTATCAAAGAGATCCGTTCCTTAAATGCAAAGTTAAGAACGTTCCCAAATGCCATGCCAAAATCTTCAACAGAATAGTGAACATCTACCCCAGAATCAACTACTCTTGATGCATATCCGATCAGTGTAGTTTTTCCGGTTCCATGTTTACCACAAACCACATGATACGACGATTGATAATTGTCAAGTTTATGAGATCATCTATAGATCGAGGAAAAAACCTATCATCTGAAACATAAGGCTCAGGTCGAGTGCCTTTTTCTATGGTTTTAATAGGAAGATTATTATTGTATTTGTTTCGGCAACAAGCGTAAAAGAGATCTCCAGTGCAAAAGAAACCAATCAGAGCCAATAAATCCAAACTCAAAGACATACTACAAACAGTGAGAATGTGATTAGAAATTCTACTGAGCAATAATTGAAACAACAAATGTGTTTACTTTGTTGGAGGGTAAAGAGATTGTAATTGGTCCCGAAAAGAAATAAAGATAAAGAAAGTGTAACGTCAAAATATAAATATAAATATATTTTTTTTTGCGGCCAATGAAGACCTGAGTAATTGTTGAGAAAGGCATCAATAAAGAGTTTAAAGGTTCGATTCCCAAATTTTATTTCCTATTTATCTAGACAAAAAAAAAATCCATGATTATTTTTCTTGGCAAATCGATCGGTAAATTTCCTGGCTATTTATTTACGCAAAATTAAATTATGCAAAAAAAAAGTTAGCTGAGAATGTGGGGCTTAAGGCTAAGGAATCAGGATTTATGGCCAGAGTCGTTAAATTAGAACAAATTGCTGAGAATGCAAAGAGATGTTGAATTCAATATCGAAATAATAGAATTAGCAAAAGAAAATGCTGAGCTTGGTTTTAGAATTTCGAAATTGGAACAGAAGCATTCGTAAAATGGTAGAGAAGAGTAACAATATTGTTAAATAGGATGATATACAGTACTTACAACGTGATTATTAACGATGATATTATTATTTTCTCTATAATTAATACTTTCTTTTGCATAAAATTTGTTTTTTCAATCAAAAAATAAAATAAAAAATAAAAAAAAAATAATGAAATTGTTTGAGAATTGAAATTATATTAAATTAGATTAGTTTGTTTTTATTAAATTGGGTGAGAATTGAAATTATATTTATGTTAAATTAAAACATTATTAGTTTTCCGAGAATTTTAATATTACAATTTTCCCCGAAAAAAACCAAAAACCAAAACAATGTGATATGTGGTAATACAAAAATTATATAAATAAAAAAAAAAAAACAAAAAAAATAATATATATACTGTATATTTTGAAAACGACTTGCGCCTCAGAAATAAATGATTATTATGCTAATCTATTTATTTACACACGATGTAATCTTTCTTTTGTCTGCATACCGAATGATCTTTACATTTAAGAGTAATTTTATTTCCATTGATGGAAATAGTATAATAAGGACTTCTATTTTTTCTTACACATTTGATTTTTATGTCTAAATCTGTTGGCAATGTAATTGTTAAATGTTTAGTACGCGATGGTTGGGTATTTGTTGCTGGGGGTGGTGGTGGTTGAGTATCTGTTACTTGTGGTTGAGTATTTGTTGCCGGAGGAGGTGGTGGTGGTGGTTGAGTATCTGTTACTTGTGGTTGAGTATTTGTTGCTGGAGGTGGTGGTGGTGGTGGTTGAGTATCTGTTACTTGTGGTTGAGTATTTGTTACTGGGGGAGGTGGTAGTTGAGTATCTGTTGCTTGTGGTTGAGTATTAGATGCTGGGGGTGGTGGTGGTGGTTGAGTATCTGTTGCTTGTGGTTGAGTATTTGATACTGGGGGTGGTGGACTTCCCGGTGCGAATGGTTGTAAATTAGCAGTAACATCTTCCGGAAGTGGACCTGAACCTCTCGCATTTCCAGTATTGGCTGGATCTCCTTCTGGGGTAAGAGTATTTCCAAACTCAGGTAAATTGGCTTTGGTAAAATCTATTTTTTGTAATGGTGTAGTAGATTGTCCAATAATTCTCACGTCAGCACAATTTTGATAGAATTCACGATTTCCGACAGCATTTATCCAAGTCCAACTAAATATACATTGACCAAGTGTATCGCAAGTTGGAGCATTTTCGGGAATTTTGACTGTCCATCCGTAGAAAACGTCAGGGCATGTTTTGTGGTAAGTGGCAATTTTGGTCCAGGTACTACCACCATCATAGGATAATGAAAATTCACATAATCCACCATTATGACGACCTTGATCACTTTCAGCAGTAGGATTTTGAGCACCGGGATTTTGAAATCTTACATCAAATATTTGACCAGCGTTAAAAGTGGCACCAAATGCTGAATCAGCTGGGTAACCCCCACAAGGGAAAGGTTTAGGTGGGCAATCACCACCTCCATTCAATGGGGCTGTTAGACATCGATAATCTATAAGAGTATTGGGATTTAAAGGATGACCCCTAGCAGGAGGAAAGGACATTGCGCTATGAGCGGAGACGGAATAAATAAGGGAGACCAAAAGGAATAATGAGCTTAAGAAATTCATTTTTGATAAATTGAAGGGACAGCAAGGAGGATGAAAGTAAAAGGTTGTGTATTTATAATAAAATCGATTCTTTTATTGAACTTATTAAGTGAATATTGCGATTGGATTGGTATTGTAAGATTTAATAATAATATACATATAATTAAGTAACAAATAACAATAAATATAAATAATTAAATATAAATAATAATAATACTCACTTTATTGTATTTATCTTTTAAATTATAATACATGAAAAATAAATTATATAAATTAAGTAAATCATTTCAATCAAATTATTTTTAGAATATTCCAGTAACATATCCAAATATCCAAATATATCTGTTGGTGAAATGTCGTGATTGCACAAATAGCACAAAAAATATTTTCATGAATGTCGAGTAACATGAATTGAAAAAAGAAATCCTGTTACACCAAGAAAAGTAGATCTGTATTTGGCATATATTAATTAAGAAGAATATGCAAATAAGAATATAAGAAATATGTGCTTTCTTCTTTATATGAGATCCGCCACAGCAAAAAGGGGTTCTGGCTCACCAAAAAAAATTTTGAGGAAACTGGTTTAAAAATTATTTCTAAATCAATATACATATAATTATAACAAAATCTCAAAATTTTTTTGGTGAGCTAGAAACCCTTTTTGCTGTGGCAGATCCCATATACTAAAAAAAGGTTTCATTTAGAATATAATAAATATATTATGACAAAGCGATCGTTGTGGTTTATTTTTGGTTTATTTTTTTGAAAATTAAATTAGATATCCATAAACAGTATTGAAGAATATAAACATAATATAAACAAAATCGAAATTATTTAATGAATTCATTCTTTTTGCGTCACAATTTAAGAACAAAAGTCATCCAACACAAATCAAAATCTAAAAATCAAGAAATCAATTGTCCAAACAGAGTCGTTATTGAATTTAATTTCTAATTAGAGTAATTAAATTAAATTGAACCTACACATGGTAACCGTTTTTGGATGTTTGTGATTAGGGGGTATGGTTCCGCAAAATCGGATCGGATTTTATCAATTCTGGATTTGGATTCGTCCTCGATTCGAATCCATAAAAATATTCAAAATATTCGAATATTTTTCAAATTTTCATGAATTGAAAAAAAATTTTATCTCCCTTTTCCTCCTCCTCCTTTTCTCTTTGTGGAACATATTAGGGGAAATAAAAGTTTCGGAAAAAATTAAAAAAAACACCGTTTTTGTGTCAAACTTTCCAATGAATAGTAATTATGATATTATAATTTAGATAATTGATAAATGAATTGCTGATATCAGATTATTCGAAGAATAAATCGCTGCAAAAATAATCAAATAAATATAATAAATAATAATTTTAGTGTTTCAGAAAAAAAATGGTTCATTTTTATCCAATAGCCGATGTTGCAGTATTTTTATTTAATAATGCCATGCTTTTAATGTTTTACTAAGCACTTTATTATATATTGGTTTTAACTATATCCGGATCTTATTAAAAAACAAAATAAGGAGATCGCAGTATAGAATTCCTTTTTTATATTTGTTTTTATGCACCCACAAAAATTCCGTATTAGAAGGTCCATTAAGGAGAAAGCGTAGTATTTCATGTTATACTTCATGCAAGGGGTATATATATAAAATTATTGGATATGGAAATTGTAACATTTAAAAAAATTACGCAGTTTACTATACGGTTTGAGCAAATCACAATACGAAAAAAAAAATAGAGAAGATATTTGTTTTCCCTAATTAGTAAAGGGTCCATTGTCATAGTGCATCAAGTTTTAAAGTTACGAGATGCACTTCGCGGTATGATCCACATTTAATGTGTAACTTAGAAAATACTTGTAATTAAATAATCGTCGATCGTTACTTAATAATATTAAAAATAGTACACAATAAAATCTTTAAACTAAAATAGGAAATTTTTTGGTGCATATTTTTAAGATATCTCATCATATTTCAATAGACTATGACTAGAGCTACAAAACTATGTTGAGATTATTTCGATTAGAGATCTAGATCAAAAGATATTAATCTGTAAAGTTTTAGAATTTATATATAAAATAAAAGATTTGAAATATATAATTTTGACCAGAATTATGTTAAATTCCTATAACACCGGCCTAATGCATTGAGGTGCATGGGGTGTGCACGGGATTTCGAAATGTTGTGAAATGTCATGGGAGATGACTGTAAGATGACAGTGTTACCAGGATGAGTGTGTTACCATCTAGATGATGGATTATTCATCTTTGTGCAAAATATTTCATCTTTGTATGTTATCTTTCATTCTTGTGTGCCATTTTCTAAGAATAGGAATAAATGTGTCTAGACTATACATGTTCCCAAAATTGATTTTGGTTTTTTGAGGTATTTCGACTTTTTGAGATTTATGCAGAATCTATTCTATATATAAAAGTAAAAAAAGTACCCAGTTATATGTATATTCAATCAAAGAATAAATCTGGATGATCAAAAAATTTTGGGTTTTAAGTAAAATGATTTCATCTTCTATGAAAAACTATTTTGACTTTTTTCTCCAAAATTGCAATTTCAGGGCTCCAAAATAATTTTGTGTGCAAGTATAGTTTAGACATGACAACAAAGGATGAAAGAAAACAAGTTCAAAAATATATAAAATAACTGGCAATTTGGGGTAAGAAAAAAAAGGAAGAGATCAGCTTTTACTAGAATTTTATACTTTTATAACATTTTAATAAATTTTGGAGATTTACAAACATTTTTATAAAAAAAAATAATAATAATAGTAATAATAAATAAATAAAATATTCTGTAATAATTTGAAACTTAATAAAATTTTATTTCATAATAAACAGTAATATTGGTGAGAAATGGTTAACAGCCCATAATACCTCTATTACTAATTTTTGTAATAAATTTGATTAAACTATTTAATTTCTTGATTAAAGTTACTGCATAAAGTTAATACTTAAGATTCAAAAGTTTGTAGAACAAGTTAGTAAAAATACTTTTACTCCACTTGCACACATACCTTCAGATCACACCAGCATGTGTAATTGTGTGAGAATATCTGTAGTACTTAACTGGCATAATCAGATTGTAGCCTGACTATACTTGTACACAAAATATTTTGGAATATACTTGCATGCAAAATTTTTTTGAGACCCTGAAATTGCAATTTTGAAAAAAAAGTCGAAATAGTTTTTCATAGAAGACAAAATTATTTTACTTAAAAACTGAAATTTTTTGACCACCCAGATTTATTCTTTGATTGAATATACACATAACTGGGTACTTTTTTTATTTTCTATATATAGAATAGATTCTACATAAATTTCAAAACAGAAGAAATATCCCAAAAATCCAAAATCAATTTTGGGAACATGTATATTTTGGAACCCCAAAATTGCAATTTTAGGAAATGGTTTATCATAGAAGACGAAATTATTTTACTTAAAACCTGAAATTTTTTAACCACTCAGATTTATTCTTTGATTGAATATACACATAACTGGATACTTTTTTTACTTCCATATATAGAATAGATTCTGCATAAATTTCAAAAAGTCAAAATACCTTAAAAATTCAAAATTAATTTTGGAAACATGTATAAGCCTAACTGGAATAGTATACAGTTGTGAAACATTACATACACCCTGTGAAATTAGGTATAGAAACCTAACAGAAAGTATAGTGTAGTTTCGAAGTGTTGCGTATGCTAAGAGGTGTGATACGAATTCAATTTAGTGAGACTAATTGCTGTAATTTTACACTTAATTCAAGGCAAACCGTCACAGCATGATTACAAAAAAATGCACAAATTAAAAATTTTTTTATGGCTCATCCAAAACAGAAAACATTACATTGTCAAAATATAGTTTAAAAAAAAAAGAAAAAGATATATGTACACTTATCAACTAATGAAGATAGCACTAATAATGAAGCAAGTAATATTTAAATTGAATGGATAGATAATTAAATAATACATCTATTAAGAAATTTGGAAAACTCTTGTACAATCAAATATCAAAAAAAATTAAAACATTAGAGAATCAAAAAAAAATGAACAAATACTTGATCAATTGTTATTTAAAAGAGGGGTACAAGAAGAATTAAATAATGAAATTCAAGATAACAATGTTGAAAACAATATTGATAATTTAGAAATTAATGAAAAATATATATATCTAATTAATCAAATTGAAAATAAAATAAAAAATGAAAAAAAAAATTATTAACTCCAGGACATAAATTACAACTTAAAGCTATTTAACTTTATTTGCAATTTCTTAATAAAGGACATGCAAAATTAGAAGCAAGTCAATTTGTTGTAGACCTTCTTAATTTAGAAAAATGTTTTGCTCATTGCATTAGAAGTTAGTTCAAAGTATTTATTAATTATAATGATCCAAAAAATAATTATGATTTGCATTTTAAAGAAGGTAGCATGAAAATTATTCAATTAAAGATAACTTCATTTTTATAACAAAATAAATTTAATATAAATGTTAATAATTTTTGTGATTATATTGGTATGAAATTTTGCCTTCTATTAATATTGAAAAAAAAGAATAAAATAAGGTAAGGATTTTTACTATTGTTATTATTTTATATTATTAGTTATATTTTATTAAAAATTTATTTTAAATATTTAAAGTAAAAGACAACAACTTGATGGTTAAAAAAATGGAATTTGTATATAGTAAATATGCAAAAGGAATATATATAGATGGCCATGAAAGAGATGATATGATTGCTTATTGAAAAATATTCCTTGAAACCATGGCCAGATATTTTGAATTTTATTTATTTATATTTTAAATATTGTAATTTATTTAATCTAATTAATTAATATATGAATATAGCTATCAAAAGTTAATGCCAAAATTTATTGGTGAAGAATGTGAGGCTCAAATTAATTCTGAATTAAATGGAGAAAAATTACATATTTTAGTTAC